TGCTATAAAATATAGAAATGATCCTTATGTGGTCCAGGTGAGTCAAGAAAAAGTGACCGAAAACCTGTTTCTGAAGTATTTTTAAATCGGTCATGTGACCACCATTCAGTGCCATATACACATTGTGAGGGGCGGAGCCTTCTTTGTTTACCAAGAGGGGGGCTTCATGCTAAAACAGTTAGGTTTCCCCCCTTATAAATCAGAGTACCACTCCACATCAGGACCCCCCTTTACATTGGAATCCCCTTTTACATCAGGAGCCCCTTCCTTATAAATCAGAGTACCCCTTTACTGAGCCTAGGGTGACGGGTGGACGCTAGTTTGTGTCCTCCCGTTACCCCAAGGAGAACTATGGGGAAAAGCCTTAACCCCATAGTTCTCCTTTAACTACACTTTCTGCGCTGTAGGCACAAGAGAAAATCTCCCAAAAGTGAAGGAAGTCGCCCCTCAGACCGTTGTCAGGTGTCCCCGTTGGAGGATTTCCCCTCTGCCCCTGTTCTGGTGTCTGTGACCCTTGGGACAGATGGAGGATAGCCCCCTATATAAACCTTCCGGGGGGGGGTCTCTAACACTTCTTTATATACTTCACCTTCCTGACATGGGGAGGCCACGTGCGGCAACATTTTGGGTTCCAGTTTTTGGAGTTTAGAGGCAGCTCAGTGTTGGAATCTCTGTTTGTGTTCACTTCCTGTTTGTTGAAGTTGCTGAAAATGGGATTTGTGTGACTTCCCCCCTTCATGTGGTCAGAGATGTGAGAAAAAACAACTTTCTTTACTTTCAGGGAGATGAACCGAAGGCAAACGTTTGAGCAAGCCCACAAGATGTTCGATAAAGCCACCAAACTGGAGCAGGAGTTCGGGGAATATTTCACAGGTGAGACCCTTCAGTCTATGTATTGTGGCCTTCACAGCACACCGCCCTTCTGTGAGGTCCGGCAGGAGAGTGAGGGGGAGGACGGAGGTCCGGCAGGAGAGTGAGGGGGAGGACGGAGGTCCGGTAGAAGAGTGAAGGGGAGGTCCAGTAGAAGAGTGAAGGGGAGGACGGAGGTCCGGTAGAAGAGTGAAGGGGAGGACGGAGGTCCGGTAGAAGAGTGAAGGGGAGGACGGAGGTCCGGTAGAAGAGTGAAGGGGAGGACGGAGGTGCGGTAGAAGAGTGATA